GTTGTCCAGTCTATTTTTCAAAATCTCCAATGATAGAGCACCCACAACTACATGAGGCAAGCTAGTCCATTGATTAATTGTTCTCACTGTCAGAAATTTCTCCTTACTTCTAGGCTGGACCTCTCTTTAACAAGCTTCCACCCATTACTTCTTGTCCTGCTCTCTGGTGCTTTGGAGAATAAATCTAATTCCCTCTTCTTTCTGATCAACCCTCAAATATTGGGGGTCATTGTCCCTCCTTATCCTTCTCTTTGTGAGTTAGATATATATCTAGTTCCCTCAACTGTTCATTATATAATTTGGCCTCATACTCTTTATCATGTCTTCTATGCACACTTTCTAGTATTCCAATTGTGCCCCCCCCCGGCCATGGCCCCACTACTAGGCCATGGCCTATTCAGAATTGGGCCAGGCAAGTGGCTGGAGCACATGACAGCCCACTGCTTACACAAGTCGAGCTGCACACATGTCATACATGCAGCCCAGTTCCCCTCCCCCACCCCACAGCTGGGCCACTAAGCTGCAAAAGTTGGGGACTACTGCACATCCAGATCTCTCTCATAGTTACTTCTGTGAGCAAGGTACTACTTATTTTGTACCTATCTATTTGCATTTTTCCTACCTAAATCTAATTCAAAACAAAATTGATGGGATATGAAATCCAAATGCATGTTGCCTCTCACTGGCAAAAACCCCCCCCAAACATACAGAAGGCTAAAGATGTTTGGACAGGAGAGTCATCAGTCTTTACTGAATATTGAAAGGACTCTGGGATATGCTGCTGAAATCACCCAAACAAAAATAATTTTATTATATTTGGAAAAAGTATCTTCTGAGTTCATGAACCTACAGTATCTTGGCACTGACTTCCACTTATAGAAGGAATTCCCTGATCCATATATTTCCATAATTTTCTTTCTGTTTAGAAGACCCCCTTTTCTAGATGTACTAAAAATTGCCTCCCAGGATATACCAAGCTCACAAGAGAAGGAGAACCAGTGTGCTGCTATGACTGCTCTCCATGTATGGAAGGAACAATCTCCACACAGGAAGGTAGGCGGCTTAAGGACAAAAAAGGAGCATCAGCCTCTTATTCTAGGGACAAATATAGTAACCAAGATTTAATCTCCCATGCCAGTGTGCCTCATCCACACTCAGGAAAAGAATCAAGACACAGCAGTGTTCCGTATTCAATAAAAGTAGCATTTTACCAGGTTGGATGTTTTCTGAAACTGCTGAAACAGTAAAAAGTAATATTGACAAAGATGGAGAAATCTTGAGAGATGACAGAAATAGGTATACAAAGCCAAGTTCAACTATTAAGAGGCATATATAAATAGTTTTTTGAAATAGGACATGGAGATGGAACAAATAAATAACCGTACGATAGAATGGATACAAAATATCAAATAAATAATTTCAGTACAAAAAAAACAAGCTTTGGAAAAGAAAAATCCAGAGAATTCACTCCAGGTTATACTATAAGGGGAAATGTTTTACAGACAGTATACAATTATATCAACAATTGATAAAACAAACAAATCATAGAAAAATAGATGTAGGAAATCCCATAACAAAAAGGAATATTTTACCATGTGTGGTAGTGATGCAAACAAACTCAAAATTCAGAGAACAAAATGCATTACAATATTCAGAAAAAAAACTAAACATAAATATTGACCTGAAATCCCAAATGTTCTTTTGAGGTATAATTCTCCAGAATTGGAAAGACACATTTTTTCAGTGATGTCACATTGGGAGATAAGATTGGACAATTTTCTGGAATGGGAAAATTCACAATATCTAAAGTATCTATGATAGCAGTAGCAAGAATGGCTACCATAAATACTACACAAAGAATTTAGAACTTTGGGACATAGCATGGTTTTTAGAAAGACAGTTCTGCAATTGGCAAATAAAGAGAAAGGATGGTGGCAATGTTTTTCTATAAGCATTTTCTACTTTATTCATGCTTAGAAATTAATGTACAGCATGTTTTTCTTTATACATCATTGTTCCAGTAATAAAAATATTTTTTTCTTTTAAAAAAAGATAGAAATAGCAATTCATTTTTTCCAGATGTGTCCCAATGTGAAAAGTGTCCAGATGAACAGCATTCCAACCAGAAGCGAGATCAGTGTGTCCCCAAAATTGAGACTTTCCTGTCCTACAAAGAAATGTTAGGTCTCATTCTGGCTATCATTGCCTTTTTTTTGTCTCTAAACACTGCCTTAGTTCTAGGAATCTTCATTAAATATCGAGAAACCCCCATAGCCAAAGCTAACAATCGGGATCTCACCTACATTCTCCTGGTCTCTCTCCTGCTTTCCTTCTTGACCTCTCTTCTATTCATTGGTCGGCCCAAGAAAGTGACCTGCCTTTTTCAACAAATCACCTTCAGTGTGGTTTTCTCAGTTGCTGTCTCCTCCTTGCTGGCCAAGACTATCATGGTGGTGGTGGCATTTTTGGCCACAAAGCCAGGCAGTAGGATGAGGAAATGGTTGGGGAAAAGTCTGGCCAACTCCATTGTCTTGTCCTGCTCTGGAGTTCAGGTGGGCATCTGCCTTACATGGCTGAGAATCTCTCCCCCATTTCCACATTCTGACCTGCATTCTCAACCAAGACAAATCCTTCTGCAATGTAATGAAGGCTCAATCACCATGTTCTACACTGCCCTTGGTTACATGGGCTTTCTGGCTGCCATCTGCTTTTTGGTGGCTTTTCTGGCCCGCAAGCTTCCGGGGACTTTCAATGAAGCCAAGTGGATCACCTTCAGCATGCTGGTTTTCTGCAGTGTTTGGGTCTCCTTCATCCCCACCTACCTGAGCACTAAAGGGAAATACATGGTGGCTGTGCAAATCTTCTCTATCCTGGCTTCCAGCCTGGGTTTACTGGGCTGTATTTTTGTCCCCAAATGTTACATCATTATTCTGAGACCTGACATGAACACTAAGGAGAATCTAATGATGAAAAATAATGTGGGTTCTTGATTTTGAAAGTTATTTGTTACCCAAGTTATTGTTAAGATAAAATAGGATAGTTGGAAATAAAATCTTTATGTGTTCTAAGAACTCTCTCTTTCTCTCACATAAAGTCTCAATTATTATTGATATAATAAGCTATATTAGAGATGTGTAAGAGGTCAGATAATCTTTACAGACCCTGCTCAAGCAACACTTCTGTGCTATGTCCTGGATTGGAGGGAGGGAACTGCCAATGATCTTTTCAGCCATTCTCACCACCCTCTGCACTGCCTTCCTGTCTGAAGTAGTGATGCTTCCAAACTAGACTGTGATGCTGTATGAAGGATGCTCTGAATCATCCCCCTGTAGAAAGTGGTCAGCACAGGGGAAGGAAGATGTGCTTTTCACACGCAACGCAGAAAATGCAGGCGCTGCTGTGCCCGCTTCACCAGTTTCTCACTGTTGGGCGACCAAGCCAGCCTGCTCGTTAGCTGCACACCCAGGAATTTGATGCTGGTAACCATCTCCACAGGTGAATCATTAATGCACAGAGAAGTGTGGCTGTGCCTGCCTTTTCTGAAATCGACAATGATCTCTTTGGTTTTTCCAGTATTTAAAACTAGGCTGTTTTCCTTTAACACCAGTTCACCAACCCCTCAACCTCCTTGCAATAAGTTTCCACCTTGTCATCCTGAATAAGGCCCACTACTATTGTATCATCTGTGAACTTCACAATATGGTTGGTGGCAAACCTAGCACAATAGTCATGGTCAACAGAGTGAACAGCAGTGGACTTTTGATGATTTCATTGAAAGGAAAGCCACAAGTGCAGAACTACTTAGTTGTCCATTTCACCAAAGGCCATTAACCCCTGCCTGAAGACCATTGAAAACACCAAATGGTAACCAAAGCAACCAAATCTGGAGATCCTTAACATCTCATTTTATACCCGGAAAAGCACTAAAAGTTGACCAGGCATTCTAAAAGGCAAGTTTTTGCTGGTAGAATGTAATTAAAGTTTTGCTCTTTGCACCATTGGTATATTGACATCTTGTCTTTTGGGCAGTTTTGACTGTTCTCCTCCTATACAGAGGCTGTCTCCTCTAATGAAAGGGGTAGCAGAGCCCTGCTATAATCCTGGGTATAACTGAGAGGGACAACTGACATTCTTGGGGGGGGGGGAATGGGGGAGATGGGCAAAAGAATGATAGAGAAACTAAAGCGCAATAAAGAACCAGATAATAAGAAATATAATAAGTAATATTTAGGGATCAATGAGTTCATGGAAGGGCAGGAAGATAAGATACTTCATAATCTCATAGAAGCCACCAATGATAAAGTAGTAACATTTCTTGCTTCCCAATCAGGAAGCAACAAATACTCTGCATACTTATGTTTTATCTCGAACTTCTCTTCAGCCATTCCACTCAATCTATACATATCCACAGATATATTCTCTCCTCTCCTCCTCTCTGCAATCTTTAGGTTATGTCACCACCTTAGGATCTGAGTGTCTCCCAGGGCTCTAAACCTTATAAATGTTTGGATCAATGGGACTGCTGTCTCTAAAATCTCCTCACACCAACCCTGGCTAGCAATAAAGTCAGTTCATCAGTTCTCATCAAAACATGCATGCTCTGAAAGTCCAAAATTTAACTTCTTTTCATCCTTTTACTCACTTCAAATGCTCACATCAGCAGAATGGCAGCCATATCAGGCCATATCACTAAAACCAACATGCCATAATTTCTGAAACTGATTTAGAGAGGGTATTATCAACGTTTGTTCAATATAAGTTTTAGACGGGAGGAAAACCTGTTGCCAATAATGTTGATGGGTTGTATTGTGTGGTGTATTATTTTTCATTTCATATTATTGTTGAACAATAACCTTTGACTTAATAATTTGCTCATGCAAATACCTTTTTCATTCCCTTTCCCTGTCATGCCTCCATCCGAGCCTGACTCTGAGGACGACATGGAGCTCCCTGTTGAGGCCCAGAAGGGGGTGTCTGTGGCTTTGGAGGACTGTGGGGAGGAGCAGGCTGAAGCAGGCCAGGGCCCTTCAAGTTTGGAACAGGGAAGGCAGCGTTCAGGTGAGGAGTAAGGCCCCTCCCCACCAGATCCCCTCCACAAGGCACACCTGGGGAATAGGATTTAAGGAGACGCTGTGGGGTGGGGCATTTGCTGGGAACAAACATGAACTCTTGTGATAGTGTGCTCTTGTACCTGGACACTTTGTATTTTGGACCAAGTTTGCTTCCTGCTGATTTCTCCTTGCTGTCTGCAGTTTTGCAGTTTGCAGTTCACAGGAAGCTGGGAGTTGAAAGGATTATACGTTTGCTTGTTATCTGTTTTACTTTAAAGAACTGTGTAAACTTCCCTGACTGTTTTATTGAACTTGTGCCAGCATATGTGGGGGCTGTTGGGTGAATGTTGGCAGTGCTTAAAAAGGCAATTGTTCTGATCAGCTAATTGTTCGGGGCGCTGGGTCATCACATTCCCTCTTTACTGCAATTAATCCAGCCTCCTCTTACTGTTAATGTAAAAATATTATGTGCTAATCCCAGTCCATGGGGTTTTAAATTAAACAGAAAATCTGAAAGAGTTGCCTGTTCCATAAGGGAAGAAAGAGGACCAATTAATTTCCAGCAGGAAACTCTGATACTCTTTTCTATCAATAAAGAATTTTTAGCCTGCTAAAAGTTACTCAATTTATTTCTGTATTTCTTTCAAAGATATGTCTCTCGGATTCTCTTACTCTATTAAGAATAATTTTCTTGAGTAAAGGGAATAATAACTTACCTAAACTGTATTGTTTTGATAAGTCTTAAATTAGAACTATGCCCATGAGTCATACAGAGTTTTTTCCCCTCTTAGGAACACAAGTAAATTCCTCATACCCATCAACAACAAATCTGACAAATACTTATTAACACTTTAAAAAAAAATCTAAAAATTTGGTCCACAAGGACCTCAAGGACTGTGGAGAGCATATGGTAAGACTCCTGTAGGCAGGATTGTGCAAGTCTGAATGTAATCTTGCTCATTTTATTGTAATGTGCCAGACTTCATTTTATCTTTATCTTTATAAAGTCAGTTGGTCTGGACTCTTTGTCAAGAGAATTGTCCTTAAACAGCTCTGAGACCAAAGACAATAGAAGATCTTCATTATGACCTGTGAAAATCTGCTGCTGCTTCTCCTGGTGTCCCATTTTCCCTGCGGCACAATGATGACTAAATGCCCATTGAGTGTGCAGAAAGAGGAAGAACACATATTTAATTACTACAAGCCAGGAGACTTCCTGATTGGTGCAATCATATCTACAACTAGCACTATATTTCAACCATACGTTTTCTTTAAACCTCCAAACAATAGATTTCAAAGGTAATTCCTGATATATACATAAGCCTAGTGATTAATTTTTTCCTTTCCTGTTTTTCTTAAATATCAATGGTTTCCATTTCCTGGTACCTGGTCTCTGTCACATTTTCCCATCTTCATTTCCTTTAAGGAAAAGACTTAAATTGGGGATGGGGGTGGCTCTTTGTAAAATAACTCTCTGTGGTGCCAGGGAGAACTACTGGATCACCTCTTAGCTGAGGTCAAAGTGAAGTTCTTTCCCATTTTATTTTCACATTCTCTTCAATGTCCTTGATGATGCATCCCTCTTTCTCTCTCTCTCTCTCTCTCTCTCTCTCTCTCTCTCTCTCTCTCTCTCTCTCCCTCTCTCCCTCTCTCATCTTTTCCTTCCTGGACAGGAAGCCACAATCCTCACCTGTTGGCTTTCAGCTTTCTTTCATAAAGTGGCTTGTGAGCAACTTGATCTCTCAAAAAGAACTGAGGCTAGTATTTTGCTTTGTGTGGCAGCAACACCATCTTCCTGCTTACTTTTTATTTAAATTAATGAAGTCCTTAAAAAAAAAGAAACCAAGGACCATGGCAGGAGTAACAACAAGTGGCCCTGGGTGTGTTTGATTTAAAGGCTGTGAAAGCACCTTCTGTCTGATTTAAAAGGGAAATGAATGTAGTAGAGGCCATTCCAGCTGTTTAAAAAAAATTCCATTCTTGGCAAGTGGTTGTTATTAATATGTGTCTTGATATTGAAATTGTTGCTGATTTGATGAGATGAAAATAATACCTTATTTTAACTATTTGATTCTATTACTGAACCAGTATAAATTAACAATAAAATTAAAACTTACAATCCTCCCATATGAAACAATTATAATTCCTATATACAATGAGAAGCAATATTTAAAACATGAATATTAATAGTACCTAGTTATAGGACCATTGCAAGGTATTATGATTAATATTTTTATGGCTAATATGAGTACAAAATCTTTTTATGCTATAATTTTTAATATTGACATTTATGTCATTAGCCATCTAGTTTTGAAAATTATGGAAATAGATTAATCTAAGCAATATACTGTCTGAAAAGTATATATAACAATATAACAATAAAAATAAATTATTGGAATGTGAAGTATAAAATTAAGGATTTAACATTTAGCAATAGAACAGTGCCCAGAAGGCTTTGTCATGGCTAGCAAATTCTTTTTTTTTTATTGTGCAAGCTGAGAGACAAAATTGACAAACATTATAGGCTACCGTGGGAGAACAATCTGAAAGAAATAAAACTAAATTAAAGATGTACAAGTCATCAGTATGGACTCGTACTTACAAGAAAAAAATCATAGAGATATTCTTAACAATTAGAAATTGAAGAAATCCTAGAAAAAACTCTGATGAAAAAGAAGAAGACTGTATTTTCATAGGAATGTGGTTTTCTAATGTGAATTTTAAATAAAATCATCCAATTGCTCAGACATTGGAACCATGATTACAATAATATAGGTTTTGTTGTAGGAATGCTCCTCTAAGTCATTTAGAGAAAATAAAAGTTGGGATCAGGTCTAGAACTTCTAATTGGAATCACTTTGACTCTGAAGAAAAGCATGGAAAAGAAGGTCCCTCTTGTGTCAATGCAGTGTCAGTGGAGCTGTTCTTCTAATATTAACACCCAAGGAAAGTCCATCACTGTAAATGAATGATACATGTATCTGACATTATTTTCATTGAACAATGAACTTCTGACAGTATTTCCTGCATTACATATGGACACTGAGCTGCTGATGTGATCCTGTCCTATTTTCTTCTTCTAGAAGACAACCAGATTATTTTATACATAAGGGGATAATGCATTCAAAACTGATTTCCACACAATAGAATCGTGAGACAGCAATACAAATGAGTTGTTATAAATGTTTTTATAGGAACAGCTTCAGAAATGGGATCTGCTTTTTTTATGAATTTAACACGAAAAATCAAAAATCAAAATGAAATTTCTTCACTTGCAGTATATCCAGTATGAGCTTCTGGCACGTCCTGCCCTTCTTCTTTGCCATTCATGAGATCAACCAGAATCCAAAGCTGTTACCAAACATCACCCTGGGCTACAGCATTTATGAGAACTTTTTCAATGCAAGAATAACTTGCGATGTCATGATGGACTTGCTTTCTGCAGGGCAGGTGAATGTCCCAAACTATAGTTGTGGAAAACAAAATAATCTGTTGCCTCTACTCGAAGGGACTGATTCTCATCTCTTTAGTCAAATTTCCACCATGCTGGGCATCTACAAAATCCCACAGGTATAAATGGATACTTTGCAAAGTCTCCTAATAGTCTAAAAATATCAAATAATAAATAAAATTAGTGAGGCAATGGAGTTTAAAGAACCCCTGAAATGATATCAGGCATTCAAATAACTATTTCTTCATTCTGATATCATTTTTGCAGCTGAACAAATCCTTATTCATTGTTCAAGTGAAATGATCTCAGCCATCCTGCACATTAAATTTTCAATCTTTTGGCCAATTCTTCATCTGCCTCTTCTCCTTGTCTGTCAGTCATTGCAGTCACAAGACCTGGGAGAGAAAAACATCTTTTCAATCTTAATTGAAACAAATCAAACAAAAATGTCAAGAAGATAAAAAATGAACAATATTATGTGTTTCTGTATTTATTCTTAAAGATTTTTTTTTAAAAAAACCACCCAACTTTTTTCTCTCCACTGAGTTCACATATCTTCCCATCATTCCCTGGGCATTACTGAGACATGTATAACTGAGCTGTATATTAGTGTTTTGTTCTTTGTTCTTGCACTTCTCAGGATGTGAAAAAAATTGTCACATTTCTCCTTCCCTAATTCTGGCAGAAAGATGTGATGACTGGAATTTACAAGCAAGTGATACCAGACATTGAGATGACATTTCATGGTAGAAACACAAGAACAAATGAAAGGAAGTTCTTTTCCTGGAGGAGAGTTCTGATATGTAAGCACTATTTTTTTTTCCTTAGAAGCAAAGCAATCGACCATCTTTTCTGGTTCATCTTAGATCAACTATGCGGTCATCAGCCACATTCCAGAGCAGAAACACCATTTCCCTTTTTTCTACCGAGTGAGTCCAAAACAAGAACCTCCTCACTTGGCAATTGTCAAGTTGCTCCTGCATTTCCGATGGACGTGGATCGGCCTCATTGCTCCAGACAATGAAAGCGGAGAAAAGTTCAGAAGAACCTTTGTGCCAGAAGCCGTAAGGAAAGGTGTCTGTGTTGCCTTCTCAGAAATCTTACCCATGGTTCTTAGAGCAGGGAGGGAAAAGAACATCCTTGAATATTTTAGTGACACTAAAGTGAAAAGTATTGTTTGTCAGTTGGACTTTCAGGCCACAATAATACTAGCAGTAGTAATAAGAGAAATTGACAATAGTGAAATCCTGTTTGGGGGGAAAGTATGGATTGCCACAGCTTTGTCAGGTATAAGTGTGAGATTTTTTTATCGATTGCTGAATCTCCAGCATAACCATCTTTTACTATCCTTCTCAAGTCAGACAAAAAATAGGACCCAGTATTATGATTTTAATTCACATTACTCTGCTACTATGCAGTTTGGGGAGGCAGCATTTCAGTGTTCTTATTCAAGTCCTTTGTTGTCTAAGAAAGTTTGGAAGAGATGCCTTGAAAAAGAGTCCTGGGAAATCCCACCCCAGGATCTGGTTGAAAGAATCCTGTCTGAGGATGGCTCCAGTATTTCCACCACTACCCAGGTTGTGGCCAGGATCCTCAGTGCTGCCTTTTCCTCCCAAATGAGTAAGAGGACGCTGCCTGTTAGGGATGTTAAGACATTCCAGATTGTACAGCCGTGGCAGGTAAGCCTTCTACTACAAAATGGTTTCCTTTCAATTCTTACATGTTAAGTTAAAGATAGCAGGAATGGATGGTGATGAGGGAAGTCCAATAACAAGTGGCAGTTTCTAATACTTCTTCTGATCAGATCTGGAAAGAGACAGATTCTGCTGTTGAATCTTCTTTTTTTAATAAATATTTTATTAAATTTTATAGGGTAGGGACAGGATGGTGTAAATACGGTTATGGAAAAGGATAGGAGTAAGGAATTAAGGATAGGATAGGGTTAGGGTTAGGGAAAGGTACAATAATGGGGTAACCCCCAACAATAATCTCATGCTTTAATAAGCAAACTACCGTCCGGATATACATATTGAATAAACCTAGCTTATATAATACTAAACAGTTATAGTAAATAGAGTTAACTATAATCATCTAATTAAAAATTAATAAGTAAATACAATTCCTTTAAGTAAATAACCTTAATTAATAAAATATAAAACTAATTCTAACTATCTCCATTAGTGTCTAGAATCACTACTAGTAACGCTATTATTAACAGAAAGAATAAAGTTTAGTGAAAAACCTAAAACCATATATTCTATTTAATTTCGAGCTCTTTTCTCATTCTGTTGTATTTCTAATCATTGATAAAATTTTCCCAAGTTTTAAAATTGAATCTTCTTTCTCTTTCATCTCTAAGGTTAATCTATCCATTTCTACACATTCTAAAATTTTGGTAATTATAATCTGATCAGATGGTAGATTTTCATTTTTACAGAATTGGGCAAATACTATTCTAGCAGCTATTAAAGCATGTAGTATTAAATAATCATTCTCCTTACCATAATTAGATCCTAATATTCCTAGCAAAAACAATTCCAGTTTAAATTCTATCTGTATTTTCATCATCTTTTCCAGCCATCTATGAATCTTAAACCAATATTGCTTTGCGTTAGGGCATATCCATCAGGCATGATAGTAAGTGCCTGGCTTTTGTTTGCATTTTCAACAAGTATTTGATACATTTTTAAACATTTTAGCTAATCGAACTGGTGTCATATGCCATCTATAAAACATTTTATATAAGTTTTCTTTGTATGAGGTTGCTTTAGTTAGTTTAATGTTTCTGTCCCAAAGTTTTTGCCATTGTTCTAAGTCTATAGAATATCCAAAATTCTTTGCCCATACCATCATTGTTTCTTTTACTTGTTCTTCTTCCATCTTCCAGCTTAGCAGAAATTTATAGTTTCTTAATCAAGTTTTCATCTGTTTTTAAAAATATTTTGTCAGTGGAGACTGCTCTTTATAAAATCCTATTGATTTTATATCTTTTTCATACCTTATTTGGATTTTCAAATAGGACCACCATGTTAGATCAATACCTTGGTGTTGAAGGGCCTGTCTGTCTTTAAGTTTTCCATCCTTATCCAAAAGATCTTTATAACTAACAAGTTTGTCATAGTTAATTAAGTTTGGGTACACAAATGCTTCCATTGTTGAAAGCCACTCCGGTATTTTTGTATACATTTTTGTGTTTGATTCTCTCCCATTCTGAAAGCAATATATTTCTTATGGCATGATTTAGAAAATATTTATGTGCTTTAGATTTCTCGTACCATATAAAGGCATGCCAACCTAGTTGGAGATCATGTCCCTCTAAATAAAAAAGTCATTTATTTCTCAATGTAATCCATTCTTTAAGCCAAAGCAAAATGGCTGCTTCATAATAAAGTCTCCAGTCCAGGAGTCCAAAGCCCCCTCTATCTTTAGAGTCTTGTAACAGTTTACTTTCAATTCTTGCTTTCTTTCTTTGCCATATAAATCTTAATATTGTTGCATTTAAACCATCAAAAAACTTCTTGCTTAATTAAACAGGAACTGTTTGAAATAGGAAAATTAGCTTTGGTAAAATGTTCATCTTGACAGTCGCTATTCTTCCTAACAGTGATAGTTGAAGATTTCCCCACTTTTCCAAATCTATTTTTATTTGTTTCATTAATTTCTCATATTTATCCTCTTTTAATGTTGTACATTTTGCGGTTAGGTGGATACCTAAATATTTAACTTTTTAACTATTTGAAGATTTGTCTTTTTGGCAAGTTGAATTTTCTGTTTCTCTGTTAGATTTTTTGTTAGTACTTTAGTCTTTTCCCTATTTATTTTCAAACCAGCCACTTCTCCAAATTTCTCAATTTTCTGCAAAAGCTTAACAGCTGTTTCCAGTGGCTCCTCTAAAATAAAAACCAAATCGTCCGCACAGGCCTGTAATTTGTATTTCTGGTTTTTAATCTCCAATCCTTTAATTTCTATATCCTGTCTAATATTTCTAGCCAACACCTCCAATGTGAGAATAAATAATAAAGGGGACAATGGACATCCCTGTTTGGTGCCTTTTTTGATGTCAAATCCATCTGTATAATCTCCATTTAAGAGTATTCTTGCTGTTTGTTTCTTATAAATTGCTTGAATGACTTTTATAAAGTTTTCACCAAAATCCATTTCCTGTAACTGTTGGAACATAAATTGCCAATTTGTCAAAAACTTTTTGTGCATCAAGAAATATGAGTGCCATCTGATTCCCTGGGTGCTTTTAATAATATTCCAGAACATTTAAAATAATCCTTAAGTTGTTCTTTATCTGTCTTTTAGACAGGAAGCTGTTTTGGTCTGAGTGAATAAATTCAGTCAAAAAAAATTTCATTCTTTCCGCCATTATTGCAGCGAAGATTTTGTAGTTCACATTTAATAGCGATATTGGTCTATAGTTTTTAATTTGTGTAAGTATCTTCTTTGGATATCAAAGTAATATTAGCTTCAGTCCATGAATTCGGTATTTTTGTCTCTCTAAAGATTTCATTACACAAGTCTTTCAAAATTGGAGTTAGAATGTTTTGTAAGGCTACATAGAATTCTGCAGGGAGTCCATCAGATCCCGGTGTTTTATTTTTCTTTTGCCTTTTTATTTCCTCTGAAATCTCCATCATTGATATCTTCTCATTTAACCTCTGTCACACATTCTCAGGGACCTTTGGAAGATTTGGAAGACTGGACAGCCATTTGTCTGAAATGGTGTAGGGTTTCCTGCCTGAGCAGGGGGTTGGACTAGATGACCTCCAAGGTCCCTTCCAACTTTACTACTATTACTATTACTATTTTAAATTATCCTGAATACCACCTTTGGATACCACCTCTGCCTTATAAAGTGTCTCATAATAATTAATTAATTAATTGTTTAATTAATTAAACAATTAATAATTGTTTTCATTGCATCATTATGGCAGTGTAACTCGCCTTTTGAGTCTTGTAACTTACTTATTAATCTTTTTTCTCTCTCTTTTTTCAATCTGTATGCAAGCCATCTTCCCAGTTTATTGGCATTTTCAAAAAAGTTCTGTTTGGCTTGTTTAATCTGTTGTGCCATTATATCCATCTCAAGTAGGTTTAATTTGTGTTTTATTAATTCCATTTGTGTCTTCAAATTTTTCTTTTGTGGATCAATTCGTAACTCAGATTTCAAATGGCTAAATTGTTCTTTCAATCTACTGTATATGCTGGTGTATAAGGCGACTTCCGCGAGCGCTGAAATCGGCGCCAAAGACGGGGGTCGTCTTATACGCCGAGTCGTCTTATACGCCGGAAATACTGGTAGTTTCCAGCATATAAGATGACGTTCTAGGAATGCAGCTCGGCGATAAAGTCGGGGGTCTTCTTATACGCCGGGTCGCCTTCTACGCCGGCATATATGGTACGCTGTTTGTTTCTTTTCTTTATTCTTTATTCTTTTTAGCAACATAAGTTATAGCCAAACCTCTAAAATATGCTTTTGCCATGTCCCATACATTTTGCATAGAGGTTTCTTTTTTTTTGTTGATTTGTTTTAAAAAGTCCATTTCTTTTGTTGCTAACTGTAGAAATTCTTTTTCTTTCAATATAGATTTATTCAACGACCATCTTAGTTTCTTCCTAAATCCTTTCCAAGTCATTTTAATTGGATTATGGTCTGCCCAAATACTTGGTTATATTTCAACCTCTTGTATCATAGTCTTCAAATCATAGGAAGTCCATATCATATCAATTCTTGACCACGATTTATGCCTATCTGAGTAAAAAGTATATTGTGCTTTTTCTGGGTTCATCTTTCTCCATATATCCTGTATACAGAGTTCATCTTTCATTTTTTAGAAGGGCTTAGGTAAAATATTTCTCCCTTTTTTTCCTTGTTCGTGGCTTTTGTAATCTCGTACTGCATCAACAACTGCATTAAAGATTATGATAGTTTAAGTCCACTAGTTTATCATATAATTGTTGAAAAAATTGCTCTTGTTTCTCATTGGAAGCATATATTGCAATCATCAATATTGGTTTTTGGTTCCATGTAATTTCCACCATTAATATTCTCCCCTCTTCATCAACATAAATTTGTTTTGGGTTCATCTTTTCTTTTATATAGAGGGCTATCCCTCTTTTCTTTTGTGATGCCAAAGAAAAATAAAGTTTACCTAATTATGGTTGTTCTAAAATTCTAGAGCGTTGTCTCTTAATATGCGTCTCTTGAAGACAAATTATGTCCATTTTCAACTTTTGTGGCTTATGAAATGTTTTACTCCTTTTTGATGGTGAGTTGAGACCATTTATATTTATTGAAAGAATTCCAGTTTCATCCATGATTTCAATTATATTGAGACCTCAGTCTTCTAGGAGAGCTTATCTGTCTCTGGTCTTTGGATCTAACATCTTCCTCTGGTTGAGTCTTTTTAGGTACTTCCTCCTCCGTTTGCTTTGATGTTCCTGCCACAGTTATTTCCTCTGGTTTCTTGGGCTAAACATCGCCTTTTTCCAGAAAAGCTCTATGATTATTAAAAAATTCCTCTGCTTGAGATGGAGTATCCAGTCTGTATCTTTTTGAGTCACAAAAAATTAATAATCCTTCCGGGACCAACCATCTAAAGTTCACTCCTCTATTAACCAATTTCCTTATTAAAAATTGATATTCTCTTCAGGCTTCTCTTATTCTTCTAGGAATCTGTTTAAGAACTACAATTTCTTTTTCTTTATATTTCAATGGTTGATCCCTTATTGCTCTCAAGATCTCATCTCGTAAGGCTCTTTTAAGGAATCTAACATGAACCTCCCTAGGGACTCTATTTCTTCTTGCATAATTTGAATTAACTCTAAAGACCTGATCCAGATCTCATTTCATTTGATCCATTTCCATTCCAAGTAGATCCGCCAATAGCTCACTCATCAGTTCTAATAAGTTCTCATCCTTCTCTTCTATCATATTTTGGAATCTTAAAAAATATGATGCCCGTTCCATCTCCATGACAGCTATGTTGTCCTCCAGTTCCATGTTGGATTGCACCAATCTCTGATTTTCATCTTGCAAAGCTTCTAATTTCTGATCAACCACCACTGACTTATCTTCCATTTTTTGCATTCTTAGTTGAATATCTGTCATCGCCTGTTGAAAGGCTTCCATTTTTTGATCCATGAGTAAAAAATGAGTAAATCATTTTTCAAATCTGCATAATTTTTTTCCAAATCTTTTTTCATTTCCATTTTAGAGTCTACAGTTGCCTGGAGTATGGCTTGGGTGTCCTTTTTCTGGGATTCCTGTTGTAGAAATCTTGTAATTGATTTTTGAGGGGCTGGGCTCACCAAAGTTGAGGTAGGGGCCGAGGAACCCTTTCTCACCCCTTTCACCAAGTTTGAGGCACTCATCTTCTAATTATTATATTTATTTGTAATCCAGTAAAAAGCCCGATGGCCAATTTATTTGTAATCCAATAAAAAGCCCAATGGCCAATTATAATCCAGCAAGTAGCCAGGGAAAAAAATTATAAGTACCCTCCTATTATCAGTAAATGAAGCCAAAATGTAGTTTAAAAGGTAAGAGGGAACCGGGGAAAAAAATACAGGAGTCCAATGCATGTGTAATCAAAAGAAAAATAATAAAAGAGGAAGCAGGATCTTTAGAGAAAAATAAAATAAAAAAGCAAAAGGAGATAGAGGTATATTGGTGGTATGAGAGGTATGATGGTTGCAAGCACGGAAGCACTCCGCCTTTCTCCTGCTGCTTCCAGGGGCTATTTTGAGTTCGGAAAGCTGGCTACCACCGACTTCCATTCCTCAAAGGTTTGCCCCTCGGTGGCCACCCCTCCAAGTTGGCATTCAGCCCAAATGAGCCCGCCAGCAAAAGAATTTAGGACCCTGGGACCAGACAGTTGTTCCCCAGGGTCTACAACCAACGACGTCACTGGAAATCCTCCCAATCTTCTTGACTAAACCAGGTGTGCTGGTTCAAGATGCTTGTAAGAATACATATTGTCTCAAGAGAAACAGGAAGCTTTCATATCTTTGCAAAGTAAATAAGTAACCATCATATTCTGCCTTAAATTTCAAACATTGGTGTGATGTATTTCCTGTCCTGCCATGTCTCTCTTCTTCTCAGCATTTTCAGAAAACAAGCACTCAGTTGACTTGCTTCTCATTACCACTTCCTGGTCACATAACCTGGCAATTTTCTTCTGCATTTGCAGGCTCCCAGGATCCTTTTATCTCTCTTTCTCCTTTGAAAATTAAATCTTAGAATCTGGACCCCTGTCATTTCTCCCAGTCTTTTCACTTTCCACCACCACATATTTGTTACATAAAATACTACAGAAGATAAAAAGATTGCAAAACTCTAAAAGGCCATACAATATTATTTATTACTTATTTATTAAATTTATATGCCACCCATCTTACTGATAGAGCCACTCTTGGTGTCTTACAAACAGTAAAAATATAAACAGAAAAACAATTAAAATTTTAAAAACTATTTTAAAAAAACAAGAGCTAAGGAGATGTACAGCACAGGGATGCTATCTTCTTACCTTGGCAAACACCTCTAGTAGTGAGCGCCCCCTTCGAGGATCCAGGCAAATTAAAAAAACTGAGTTTTGATACCCTTCCAGAAGTCCAAAGGGGTGGGAGATCAACATAAGAGGTGGGTAAACAACCCTAGAAATAGGGTGAGGTTGCTGCAGTTAAAATATATTTCTGATCTGAGATTAGAAATTTCACAGAACAGAGTAGGTGAAAATAATGAACAGAAAAGGTTTATGTATATGTGTTTATGTATGAGAGAGAAAGAATGGGAGAGGGAAAGGGAGATTTAGAGATAGAGGAGTGAGTGAGAAAGAGAGAATCTTCCTGTCACATTTGCCGACAGAGGCATTGAGTTGAATATCCCACTTCTGACTTAGGGCTCAAAAGAGAATGTATGCACGATGAGGGTGATTCTCTATTTCTTTTCAGCTCCATCCTTTTCTAAGAAACTTAGAGATTTACAATTTTTCTGTGGATGATGTTTATTTGGATGAGACTGGAATTCCTGTTGCTGACTTTGATATTATGGACTGGGCAGTATTTCCTAACAAGTCTTCTGCTGGAGTGAAAATAGGGGATATTGAAAAAGAAAAAGTCTCTTCAGATATCAAGTTCTCTATCGATGAGAGTGGCATCATATGGCCAACATCCTTTAACTGGGTAACCAAGTCTGCCTGTCTGTGGGAATTTCATTTTTAATGTGTGCCTGTTTGCTCACAGTAAAAAAATGACAGTAAAGGTTATCTACCTTATCTTGTTCAAATTACAAATTCAGAGTAGAGCTTGAAGGGACCTTGGAGGTCTTGTAGTCCAACCCCCAGCTCAAGCAGGTGACCCTATACCATTTCAGATAAATGATTATCCAGTCTCTTTTTCAAAACCTCCAGTGATGGAGCACCTACAACTTCTGAAGGCAAGCTGCTCCACTGGTTAATTGTTCTCACTGTTAGGAAGTTTCTCCTTAATTCCAGGTTGCTTTTCTCCTTGATGAGTTTCTTATCCTGCTTTCTGATGCTTTGGAAAATAAGTTGACCCTCTCTTCTTTGTGGCAGCCCCTCAAATACTGAAACCACTCATGTCACCCCCCACTCCTTCTCTTCTCCAGACTAGCTATACCCAATCCTTACTACAGTTGTACTAATGTTTTACTCTCCAAGCCGTTAATCATCTTAGTTGCTCTTCTTTGCACCTTTTCCACCTTTATAAAGCGATACTAATACTTGACATGATTTTGATTCTACGGCTCTGTTTATACAACCAAGGATTGTATTAGCTTTTTTGGCTGATGCTGCACACTGCTGGATCATATTTAATTGATCGTCTACTAGGACTCCAAGGTCCCTCTCACAGTTACTGGTTTTGAACCATGTTTTGCCTAATCTGTACTTGTACATTTGGTTTTTGTTCTCTCTATATAAAACATTGCTTTTCACCACATTAAATTTCATTTTGTTGGATAGGCCTATTATTCAAGTCTGCCAAGATTCTTTTGGATCCTGAGCTTGTTTTCTGGGTGTTGGCTAATCCTACCATCTTAGTGTCATCTGCAAAATTTGATGACATCCCCTTCTATTCCCTCATCTGTCATTTATGAAGATATTGAAGAGTGCTAGGGCAAAGATGGAAACTTGTGGTACTCCACTGCTTACTTCCCTACATGTAGATGTAACCTTCTATCCCAACCCTCTGTTCAAGGCAGGAAACTTTATATCATCCCAGTCAAATAGTTGTCCAGTCTATTTTTCAAAATCTCCAGTGATAGAGCACCCACAACTACATGAGGCAAGCTAGTCCATTGATTAATTGTTCTTACTGTCAGAAATTTCTCCTTACTTCTAGGCTGGACCTCTCTTTAACAAACTTTCACCTATTACTTCTTGTCCTGCCCTCTGGTGCTTTGGAGAATAAATCTAAATCTCTCTTCTTTGTGATCAACCCTCAAATATTGGGCGTCATTGTCCCTCCTTATCCTTTTCTTTGTGTGGTAGATACTGTATATATCTAGTTCCCTCAATTGTTCATTATATAATTTAGCCTACAGACTGTTTATCATGTTTTCTAGTCTTCTATGCACACTTTCCAGTATTCCAATTGTGCCCCTCCCAGGCCATGGCCCCACTAGTAGGCCATGGCCTATTCAGAATTGGGCCAGGCAAGTGGCTGGAGCACATGACAGCCCACTGCTTACACAAGTCGAGCTGCACACATGTCATACATGCAGCCCAGTTCCCCTCTCCCCTCCCCACAGCTGGGCCACTGAGCCGCAAAGGTTGGGGACTACTGCACTAGCACATCCAGATCTCTCTCATAGTTACTTCTGTGAGCAAGGTACTACTTATTTTGTACCTATCTATTTGCATTTTTCCTACCTAAATCTAATTCAAAACAAAATTGATGGGATATGAAATCCAAATGCATGTTGCCTCTCACTGGAAAAAAAAAACCCAAACATACAGAAGGCTAAAGATGTTTGGACAGGAGAGTCATCAGTCTTTACTGAATATTGAAAGGACTCTGGGATATGCTGCTGAAATCACCCAAACAAAAATAATTTTATTATATTTGGAAAAAATCCTGAAAGTATCTTCTGAGTTCATGAACCTATCTTGGTACTGACTTCCACTTATAGAAGGAATTCCCTAATCCATATATTTCCATAATTTTCTTTCTGTTTAGAAGACCCCCTTTTCTAGATGTACTAAAAATTGCCTCCCAGGATATACCAAGCTCACAAGAGAAGGAGAACCAGTGTGCTGCTATGACTGCTCTCCATGTATGGAAGGAACAATCTCCACACAGGAAGGTAAGTGGCTTAAGGACAAAAAAGGAGCATCAGCCTTTTATTCTAGGGACAAATATAGTAACCAAGATTTAATCTCCCATGCCAGTGTGCCTCATCCACACTCAGGAAAAGAATCAAGACACAGCAGTGTTCCGTATTCAATAAAAGTAGCATTTTACCAGGGTGGATGTTTTCGGAAACTGCTGAAACAGTAAAAAGTAATATTGACAAAGATTGAGAAATCTTGAGAGATGACAGAAACAGGTATACAAAGCCAAGATCAACTATTAGGAGGCATATATAAATAATTTTTTGAAATAGGACATGGAGATGGAACAAATAAACAACCGTACGATAGAATGGATACAAAATATCAAATAAATAATTGCAGTACAAACAAAATAACAGCTCTGGAAAAGAAAAATCCAGAAAATTCACTCCAGGTTATACTATAAGGGGAAATGTTTTACAGACAGTATACAATTATATCAACAGTTGATAAAACAAACAAATAATAGAAAAATAGATGTATGAAATCCCATAACAAAAAGGAATGTTTTATCATGTGTGGTAGTGATGCAAAGAAACTCAAAATTCAGAGAACAAAATACATCACAATATTCAGAAAAAAACTAAACATAAACATTGACCTGAAATCCCAAATGTTCTTTTGAGGTATAATCCTCCAGAATTGGAAAGACACATTTTTTTCAGTGATGTCACATTTGGAGATAAGATTGGACAATTTTCTGGAATGGGAAAATTCACAATATCTAAAGTATCTATGATAAAAGTAGCAAGATGGCTACCATAAATACTACACAAAGAATTTAGAACTTTGGGACATAGCATGGTTTTTAGAAAGACAGTTCTGCAATTGGCAAATAAAGAGAAAGGATGGTGGCAATGTTTTTCTATAAGCATTTTCTACTTTATTAATATTTAGAAATTATTTCTTTTTGTAATAAAAATATTTTTCTTTTAAAAAAGAGAAAAAAATAGCAATTCATGTTTTTCAGATGTGTCCCAATGTGAAAAGTGTCCAGATGAACAACATTCCAACCAGAAGCAAGATCAGTGTGTCCCCAAAATTGAGACTTTCCTGTCCTACAAAAAAATGTTAGGTCTCATTCTGGCTATCATTGCCTTTTTTTTGTCTCTAAACACTGCCTTAGTTCTAGGAATCTTCATTAAATATCGAGAAACCCCCATAGCCAAAGCTAACAATCGGGATCTCACCTACATTCTCCTGGTCTCTCTCTTGCTTTCCTTCTTGACCTCTCTTCTATTCATTGGTCGGCCCAAGAAAGTGACCTGCCTTTTTCAACAAATCACCTTCAGCGTGGTTTTCTCAGTTGCTGTCTCTTCCTTGCTGGCCAAGACTATCATGGTGGTGGTGGCATTTTTGGCCACAAAGCCAGGCAGCAGGATGAGGAAATGGTTGGGGAAAAGTCTGGCCAACTCCATTGTCTTGTCCTGCTCTGGAGTTCAGGTGGGCCTCTGCCTTATATGGCTGAGAATCTCTCCCCCATTTCCACATTCTGACCTGCATTCTGAACCAAGACAGATACTCCTGCAATGTAATGAAGGCTCAATCACCATGTTCTACACTGTCCTTGGTTACATGGGCTTTCTGGCCACCATCTGCTTTTTGGTGGCTTTTCTGGCCCGCAAGCTTCCAGGGACTTTCAATGAAGCCAAGTGGATCACCTTCAGCATGCTGGTTTTCTGCAGTGTTTGGATCTCCTTCATCCCCACCTACCTGAGCACTAAAGGGAAATACATGGTGGCTGTGCAAATCTTCTCTATCCTGGCTTCCAGCCTGGGTTTACTGGGCTGTATTTTTGTCCCCAAATGTTACATCATTATTTTGAGACCTGATATAAACACTAAGGAGAATCTAATGATGAAAAATAATGTGGGTTCTTGATTTTGAAAGTTATTTGTTACCCAAGTTATTGTTAAGATAAATAGGATAGTTGGAAATAAAATCTTTATGTGTTCTAAGAACTCTCTCTTTCTCTCACATAAAGTCTCAATTATTATTGATATAATAAGCTATATTAGAGATGTGTAAGAGGTCAGATAATCTTTACAGACCCTGCTCAAGCAACACTTCTGTGCTATGTCCTGGATTGGAGGGAGGGAACTGCCAATGATCTTTTCGGCCATTCTCACCACTCTCTGCACTGCCTTCCTGTCTGAAGCAGTGATGCTGTCAATGCTGCAAATACTGTATATTCTTGCTTCGACAATATGCAAAACTGTCTGGTATTCATTGGGTTAATACTTAGCTTAGACTGGGGGGGGGGAAAGCCCGGGAAAGAAAGAGGAAGTAAACTTTTGACCTTCTCACTAATTAGATAATGTGACCTGTGACTGCATGAGAAGGGAGGGGTTTAGCAAGGAAAGCTTGATGCCAGCAAAAGGAAGTTCAGATTTTGGCATAAACCCGTCCATCATGGTGACCGGCAAAACTAGCTCTGCAATAAAGATTTTAGGAAACATGCCTGAAAGTTCTTTGAAGTGCTTCATTAGTCGGAACATGTAACAGATGTTTCCAAACCAGATTGTGATGCTGTATGACAAGATGCTCTCGATCATCCCCCTGTAGAAAGTGGTCAGGACAGGTGAAGGAAGATGTGCTTTTCTCATGCGATGCAGAAAATGCAGGCGCTGCTGTGCCCTCTTCGCCAGTTTTTCACTGTTGGGCTACCAAGCCAGCCTGCTCGTTAGCTGCACACCCAGGAATTTGATGCTGGTAACCATCTCCACAGATGAATCATTAATGCACAGAGAAGTGTGGCTGTGCCTGCCTTTTCTGAAATCGACAATGATCTCTTTGGTTTTTCCAGTATTTAAAACTAGGCTGTTTTCCTTTAACACCAGTTCACCAACCCCTCAACCTCCTTGCGATAAGTTTCCACCTTGTCATCCTGAATAAGGCCCACTACTGTTGTATCATCTGTGAACTTCACAATATGGTTGGTGGCAAACCTAGCACAATAGTCATGGTCAACAGAGTGAACAGCAGTGGACTTTTGATGATTTCATTGAAAGGAAAGCCACAAGTGCAGAACTACTTAGTTGTCCATTTCACCAAAGGCCATTAACCCCTGCCTGAAGACCATTGAAAACACCAAATGGTAACCAAATCAACCAAATCTGGAGATCCTTAACATCTCATTTTATACTCAGAACAGTACTAATAGCTGACCAGGCATTCTAAAAGGCAAGTTTTTGCTGGTAGAATGTAATTAAAGTTTTGCTCTTTGCACCATTGGTATGATTGCCATCTTGCCTTTTGGGTAGTTTTGACCTTTCTCCTCCTATACGGAGGCTGTCTCCTCTAATGAAAGGGGTAGCAGAGCCCTGCTATAATCCTGGGTATAACTGAGAGGGACAACTGACATTCTGGGGGGGGGGGAGATGGGCAAAAAATGATAAACTAAAGCGTAATAAAGACCCCGATAATAAGAAATATAATAAGTAATATTTATGAATCAATGACTTCATGGAAGGACAGGAAGATAAGATACTTCATAATCTCATAGTAGCCAATCTCAAAAGTGAAAATATGTGTATAAAAATGTATAATAATAATAATATGGATTATTCTTAGTAAGAAGTAGAACATGAAGGAAGAAAAATGTAAATAAGAAATAACGGGGCTATGACAAATATTCTAAAGAAGGATAAGGGGGGAAATTTAAATAATAGATTACCGTTGCACAATTGCTGTAAAAAAAGGAGGAGTATATATTGTGTGTGTATGTGTGTTATGTTTTGCTTTGTTTTGTTTTGTCTTGTTGGTTAAAAATAAAAATTTAAAAAAATATTTCTTCCAAATCAGGAAGCAACAAATACTCTGCATACTTATGTTTTATCTCGAACTTCTCTTCAGCCATTCCATTCAATTTATACATATCCACAGATATATTCTCTCCTCTCCTCCTTTCTGCAATCTTTAGGTTATGTCACCACCTTAGGATCTGAGTTTCTCCCAGGGCTCTAAACCTTAGTATGTTTATAAACATTTGGATCAGTGGAACTGCTGTCTCTAAAATCTCCTCACACCAACCCTGGCTAGCAATAAAGTCAGTTCATCAGTTCTCATCAAAACATGCATGCTCTGAAAGTCCAAAATTTAACTTCTTTTCATCCTTTTACTCACTTCAAATGCTCACATCAGCAGAATGGCAGCCATATCAGGCCATAATTTCTGAAACTGATTTAGAGAGGGTATTATCAAGAAGGTTTGTTCAATATAAATTTTAGATGGGAGGAAAACCTGTTGCCAATAATGTTGAGGGTTGTATTGTGTGGTGTATTATTTTTCATTTCATATTATTGTTGAACAATAACCTTTGACTTAATAATTTGCTCATGCAAATACCTTTTTCAGTCCCTTTCCCTGTCATGCCTCCATCCGAGCCTGACTCTGAGGACGACATGGAGCTCCCTGTTGAGGCCCAGAAGGGGGTGTCTGTGGCTTTGGAGGACTGTGGGGAGGAGCAGGCTGAAGCAGGCCAGGGCCCTTCAAGTTTGGAACAGGGAAGGCTGAGTTCAGGTGAGGAGTAAGGCCCCTTCCCACCAGATGCCAGAGCAAGGGGAGCAGAGAGGAGGAGGGAACAATGGAGGCAGGCTCACTTGCTTGGGAGGAGAGCATCACACCGCACTCCACAAGGCACTCCATGCTATGGGGTGGGGCATTTGCTGGGAACAAATGTGAACTCTTGTGATAGTTTGCTCTTGTACCTGGACACTTTGTATTTTGGACCAAGTTTGCTTTCTGTTGATTTCTGTTGTGTCCTTAGCCTGCAAAAGCAGGCTCGGGACCTTGCAGTGGTCCCGGGGATTCCAAAAGCTGCCCGGGACCATACTGAGTGGCACCAGCCTTGCGCGCATGTGCAAAGTGGTTGCTGCCCAGGATCAGACAGAGCAGCGCCAGCCTTTGCGCGCATGCGCAAGGGGGGAAAACACTCTGTTACTGTTACTTGCCTTTGTACGGGTTCTGGCCATAAAAGGGGGCCTGTGAGCCTTTGGGTTTTGTTCAGGTGTTGCTGTAAGGAGAATAAAGAACTGTTTAACTTCGCCATGAGTATTCATCATTCGCACGTGAACGGAGGATTTAACACTGGCGACGAGGATGGGATCCTTTGCAAACTGAAAAGGCAGTTTTAAGGACTTACCCAGGAAGTCCTGAAGAGGGAAGACAGCGTCTGAATCAGCATCCCAGCCTGCCAGTATAGCGTCACTGGAGGGTGAGCTCGGCTAACCCTTTCCCCAAACAGAAGTTTGCAGAGGAGCGAGTGGTGAAGGTAGTACTAGTATGATGGTGAAGATTGGTCGTTTGTCTGATTTTGATATCTCACACCCAGAGAGATGGAATTCCTACGTTGCAAGGGTGGAGAATTACTTCAGAGTAAATCAAATTAGAGAAGATGGCTTGAAGACTGCAACTCTTTTGTGTGTCTGTGGACAGGAAGTTTTTGAAATTACAGAAAAATCTGGTGGCCCCTGAACCTCTGGAGTCAGTACCATATACTGACTTGAAGAAATTGTTGAAGGAACATTTCCAGCCAAAGTTGTCTGTTATTGCTTGGAGGCACGTGTTTGAGCAGAGGGACCAGAAGCCAGGTGAATCTGCTACAAATTTTTTTGCAGCCTTAAGGCGAGCAGTCAGACCTTGTGAGTTCAAGGATCTGGAAGAAAGGCTGAGAGATCGCTTCGTATGTGGTTTAAGGAACAGACACTTACAGCAGAAGATTTTTGCTAAAGAAGAAGTCTCTTTCCAAGATGCCCTATGAGAGGTGACAGCTGAGGAAGCAACAGGTGGGGCTGTGAAGATTTTACGGCTCACCAGGAACCCTCCAGAGACAACTACCGTCCATCAAAAGGATGCTCAAGAAGGATCGGAAGCGGATCCTGAAGAAGAGGTGGATAGACTTCACCAGCCAGCTGAAAGAGGCAGAAGGAATGTCCGGACAAGGCCCTAGCATCTCTGCAATGCTTCGGGTGCAGAGGACACCACAAGCGAGCTGACTGCAGGTTCCGATCCACCATTTGCAGAGCATGTGGCAAGCAAGTCCACATCGCATCCATCTGTTTCGGTCGCCAGAAGGTCCAATCTCGTGAAGAATTGCATCTGAAAGGTACCAGGGTCCCCAGCCAAAACAGGGTGGGTTTCTGCGCATCATGCAGGAGTATTTTGAGGACAGGGACACATAAGCCCCTTAAGAAGAAGCTTTTCCTTAACGTAAGGCTGCAAGGAGTTCCCTTATCAATGGAGTTGGACACTGGGTCTGCTCTTTCCATTATTTCCATTAGCACAGTCAATAGGATACGCAGCAGCAGTGGCCTTCGAGGTAAACTCAGGCCGTCGAATCTAATACTTATAGATTTTCAGAATTCTATGGTGAGTGTTAAGGGGGAGGCCACCCTTAGAGTACAGTATAAGGATTTTGAAGGTCCCCTAGATGTGGTGGTTGTCGGGGGTGAACATATGAGTCTTATTGGACTCGATTGGTTCGAGGCTCTGGGAATCCAGGTGACTGGGCTGCACCATTTGCAAACGTTGAGTCTTGCAGAAGTCTGCAAGGAATTTGCAGATGTATTTAGTTCAGAGCTAGGATCCTACAAGGGACCTCCAATTTCACTACGATTAGATGCAACCATCACGCCTATCAGGGTTAAGCCTAGGAGGGTACCTTTTCCCTCAAAGGCAAGATTGATGCTGAGCTGGACAAATTGCTCCAGCAGGGCATTCTTGAACCTGTGGATTCAAGTCCATGGGAAACCCCCATAGTAACGCCTCTAAAGGCTAATGGGGACATATGTATATGTGCAGACTACAAGTGCACACTGAATAAGGCGCTGCAACAGCATGCTTATCCAGTGCCTGTGGTAAGTCACATTCTGGCCTCCCTCAAGGGAGAGCACATTTTTGCAAAGCTTGACCTATCACAGGCCTATCAACAGCTACCTGTTGATGAGGCAGCTGCAGAGGCCCAGACTATTGTAACTCACAGAGGGGCATTCAAGGTCAAGAGACTGCAATTTGGGATAAATGTAGCCCCTGGCATATTCCAAAGTGTCACAGAGAGCACACTTCGAGGTATTCCTGGGGTCTGT